CCGCGTGGAATAATGTATTGGTTTCGGTAAGCTGAATCAACAACCTGAATTGTAAACGTCTTGGTGGTCCGGAACCTGTTACGTCTTTTGGTGTGTCTGCTTCATTTGAAGGCATTTGGATTGAATAATAGTACTTCAGTTATACCCTAAAATTTGTTGACAGTATATAATTTTGGTTCCTAGCAATCTTATTAACCCCAACATTGAACGCAACTCAAATTGAATAACACTGTCACGTGTTGGGTAGGTCACGCGACAAATAATTTCACGCCTTATTGGATATAGTGAATTTATTGAACACTCGCTCTCACAATTACACCATTTACAATTATACCACTACTGCCATCTGCAGTATCACAAATACTTCTCCTGTTGTTACTGCCATGCACTCAATACAACCCGACTCCGCGACTGCTAGATTGAAACTGACTGGTTTATCGTTACTCACTAGTAACTCACTCACTCGTAACTGACTCAGTCCTCACTACTGAATAGTGTTCGCTGTTCCTTAGTTAGCCTCGGCACGGACAACACAGAAAACAGTTACGTGATAGTTACCGCTGTTGCGTGACGCCGTGTTTACAGGTTGCCTAGCAACACTGTCGAGAGTTGTTTACTGCTGTGTAGTAACTGCGGTATCCCTTGTTACGTCACTGTGGGAAGTGCTGTTACGTTACCGCGGCAATGGTTGCCTGACACAGTTGCTTCTCTGTTACGTCACCGCGGGGAAGAGTGTTTTACCGAGCGTTGCGCACTGATGGAAGGAGTGGGTGTATGTGACGTCACTCGCGAGACCGCAGAGTTCACATGACCCCTACTTCCTGTTGCGCCATCCACATCACAATACCATTTGTATCAGAAACGGTTTCTCATACAAGAAGGTTGTAAGCTAGGTGTTGAAATTGTGGATCTCATTTTACGCGAAACACGTTCATCTTGTCGGGGCATCCTATGGAATTATGAGAAAATTAATTTCCGAGCTGCGTCTAATAAAGTATTTTCAGTTAACGACTATAATGAACAGGATTCAAGTTCCTGCAAGCGATTATATAACAAATTTCATAGGAATTTGATACATAGCTCTGGAGATAGATGGTCCATTATGGAATGCCCATTATACAGAGCGGAAGGAAGGAGATATGCAGCAAGACTAATTACTAGTAGATGGAAGGGTTAAGAATTATGCGTAGTGCCAGAACTTGTCAGAATGGACCCAAGGAAAAACGAAAGCAGGATGGAGAGAAGGAGAGGGAGAGGGAAAAAGAACATATAACACGTGAAAAAGAAGCATAAGAGAGTTGGTAACTGAACAAATAATTAATTTATATAGGCCCATTAAATTTGCAGGGATTCTGACAAGGACATTCTTACAAGAATGCTCTTATGCCTATTAGATTCAGCTAGTGGAATTGTCAGGTATATTCGTGACTTGTAGACGGGGTTTGCATTGGTAAATCAATTTACTGGATACGCGCAAGTTGTAAGTACAAGTTTTTATAACACTTTGAAAATTACGATAGCTGTAACACATATATTAAAGTCTCCTCAATCNACACGGCGCCAAAACCCAGAAGACGACTTTCTTCATAGTCATCGCCGTGAAAACCTCAAAACTTACATCTCCTCAATCTGTTCAACTAGTCGTTGCTATGTAACAGATCTCAACAATGGCTATGCCTTTACGATGTTTTCATTATCCGTTTCCTGGCAACGGGTTTTGAAACAGGAACGATCATTTCAAATCACTTTGAAGTCTTCTTCGTCCCATTTCTCTCTCTCAGATTCGCTGTACTCTTTCTCAGCTGAACTCAGGTCTAATTCTCTCAACTCTTGAATACTCGAACAACGAATCTTGAGTCGTTCACAGCTCCTGGTTCCATTTCTGTCTCTTGTGTGCTATTGTATTTCCATTCTCTTGACGTAGTTGTTCCAGAGTCAAAGTCAAATTTATGTTACGACCATCAGTCGGCCAATCTGTCTTAGAAAAAATACCCATGTAGGACTTCAGACCAGATCTTCATTAACGTCAGACAGTTGCGGGTTTGTTGGTGTGGGGCGCTTTCTCTGACGCAAGGACGGGTGTGTCATTTGCCAGATTCAAAGTCAGCAATGGTAAGCCTGTTGTCAGTATATACAATTTACATTTTACATGTTATTAAATGTATGTACAATGTCTCTGTCATTCCATACTCAATACAGCAGATCATCCCTATGATAGCCAATATTTCAGCCTCCTCTAACAGTACCATTAAAACCTATCGTAATCTGATGTACTACTTTTAACATCCTGTCCATAGGCAAACTGCTTATATAAGGAGCCCGAATTGACTGACCTGTTATGTCTGTTAGTGTTGGGTAAGGCCGCAGAGACCGTGGGTTCCATTACGGTGGAACCTGCTAGTGCCACCTGATGTAACTGAGGCTGCTGCTGCTCCTCTGTCCTGCCTCGGAGCGCCGCCGCGAAGGATATGCCTGGAGTGTTGAGGTTGGAAGAGAACACTCTTCCTGTTGTAGTCCTGGGTGTTCTCTGCGACTTCTTTTACTGCATTCCTTCGCGTGTCTGCAGCCTAGATAATTGGTGGGATGGAGCTTTTATCATTCCGCCAACCAACAGTTGCAGCATGTTGGGGTGGAAGATGTATTCCCTTTCTCGGGGCGCTCATTGTGCAGGTGACCGCCCCTTCACCGCAAGCAGCGGGGAGATTGCTTGCAATTTTCCCAGACGTGGCCGAACGGTTGGCAGTTATGGCAAGATTACTCTGAGTTCGTATGCCTCTACCTCGAAGTATCCTCCAACACGAATAGGCACCGCGTCCATTCTTCTGTGACAGTTTAAAGTGAGGCGTTTATATTGTTTCGAAAGATCTGAACCTGGATCCAGACTTTCGTCTCATGAGAAATAATTTCCCCAGCCAAATCTATCTTATCCTGCCTGGCATAGTCTGAGTGGTGTTTGTCATACATACCAGGCTCTTGCTCATTTAACTGGACAAAAACAAAATTAGCAGTTTATACAAACTTTCGCGCCGTCTTAATAAACAAATGAATCAACGAAGTGCGGTATAGAACAGTCGACACTAGGAAACCACGCGGCAACTCAATTATAAGAAGACTGGCATGCTACGTTGCCGGGAATTCGAGTTTCTTAGTCATTCCGCTAGTTGCGTTGTCGTTTCCTCAATTTCAGCTGTTCCATTCAGAAACATACTTTCAACTCAGGCTGATACAATTCTCGGAAATTTCGGTTGCGTTACGGTTGTCAGTTTCCTTGGTGTGCCCTCAGTCTGAAAGATCTGATCAGCAGTTGATCTGTTAGTCGAAACCCACACTGGTCATTCCCAATAATTTCATCTATACATGGACTTAACCATAAGAGAAGGATATTGGATAAAATTTTGTATGAAGTTGATAGCAGTGATATCCCCCGATAATTACTACAGTCAATATTACTGGTACAATAATAAACTCATTTAACTGATCAGGCAATTTTTCCTTACGCCAAAGGGAAGTAATTAGCTTATGGATCTTAGAACGTAATATTTCGCCTCCTGCTTGAGTAAGTTCTGCCGGAATATAATCACTATCTGACGATTTATACCTTTTGAATTTTGCAACAGTAATTTCAGCCTCAAGAGGGCTAGGATCAAGTACTAACAGCTCAGCTGTATATGTGTATATTCCTCTCTGCCTAACACCACTGACCCTATGTACATTGAATAACTGAGAGAAGTAGTTCCTCCACCTATTCAAAATATTGTGGGAATCTGCAAACAGGTCACCATTCTTATCCTTCACTAAGTTACTTACAGTAACAGTTACAGTACAGTAACAGTACCCCTCTTACAGTAATTTATTCCTCTATACAGGTCTCTAATAATCTTGTTCTTAGTGTTCGTTGCAAGCAATTGTTTCATCTCTGTCGATCCATCTCCTAGCCATCTCTCTGTCCAGGCGGTTCCTCACATGGTGGCAGAAATGTGGCGGCGCTTGTGCTTAAGTTTGGCATGACAAAAAAAGAAAGTTTTCCTTTCCGATGACATAAACCGGATACGTGTATGACAATTAGTTTCCGAAATATACATTTTTTTATACCTTTCATCCGGACACCCGGTATTTGAATGCCGTTTCCTATCTATCAAAATACGATAAATTTTTTGTTTGTCTTTCCATCAGGAGATGTTCAAGTAAATTTATTAATGTTACGATGTGGGAACATCGTACTTTCGACAATAAGATTTTTTGATGTAGCATAATTTACTATTCTAATTCCAATACAATTACTAATTTCGTGAAAACTCTCATTTCCAATTGCTGGTTTGAAAATGTCTTCCCTGCCTACTTTGGCATTGAAATATCCTGACAAAATATTCATGTGGTATTTAGGGAATTTATTGAATATAGCGACATCTTAATATTATGTACGACATCCAACCAGTAGCAAAGTCTCCCCTCTTGATTGCTGATATGATTCTCTTACTTCGTACGAAGAAAAACCTGTACATAATTCATGATTCTCATTCTATTTCCATCGAGAAATGTATCTTCGCCTGCTTGCTCGGTGCCACCCCTGTCGCATCTGACCTCCTGCACTCCCACTAAATCCAACTTATATTTTGATAATCCTTCTGAAACTAACCTAAGCGAACCCGCAATCTACATACTTCTAACATTCCAAGTACCAAATTTCATATCAATTTTCTTTCGCTTAAGTCGTTTACCCAGATAATTATTCCAGGACCAAGGCTTCTTGTAATCTTTCGTAACAAGCTTATTTTTTACGGTGAGGAGTTGGCAGCCTAACGACCAACCCCAAAGCTGGAGGACCACCCCTAAAGCTGGAGGACCACCCCTGTCGGCTCTCCGTGACTGCTTATTCAGTATATTCGTGGCTACCCTCCGTATCTGGAGGCCGTCTCCTTCATCAGCAAACTGAGGACGCGCCATGCCGTGGTGACATGGGATCCATCCAACATGGTTAAAGTGTGTTTTCGCATAGAAGAAATCTTACTCTGAGAATGTCGAAATTCACCACTCAATGTTTCAAAACCGCTGTCGGTCATCGTAACGGCTGTACGGTTACTGGCGCGTCTAGCAGGCTGTGATGGTTGTGTTCATGGAGGAAATGATGTCGGTGCAGTTGTCGAAGACGTCCGTTCCAGATAATGTTGTAATTCAACAGGTATGTGAAAAGCATGGTTCATTGCATATATATAGAATTGTAATTCGTTTCATATTGTAATACTGCTGTCATTTGTATTTCACAACATAGAACGCTGTTCCATTTATAACCGCTCGTAACCAAAGTGACCAAAATAACACGTGCTGTTTCTTCCATTACCGACAGTAGCACTCGTATATGAGAATGAACTAAATGTAAACTAATGTGCCTTAATCTGTAGGAATACGAGATTACTCTACCAAAAAAATATAACGAAAGTCTTTCCACGTACCAGTGTAGAACGTCGTGAAACTTGGCGCATTCTTAGTATAACATAAATCTATACCAGTGGATGTCTTTTACTGTCCTAAATACTCTTCCAGTTGACCTAATCAATCCGACCGCATTATGGCCTTGGGGTGACTCAGCTTCTAACAGAAATGAGTACCATGAATATTCTTGGAGGCGAAGGGCGGCCGGCGCATAAGGCTGACAACCTTACTGCCATCTGTGAGACGATTGCCTAGAGAAACTGTGGGATCCCTGATGTCTCACAACCCTATGGGCCTCCAGGGCATGTAGCACGAATGGGGGAGAAGAGGAATGCATATAGGATATTGGTGGGAAAGCCAGAAGGAAGGAGACCAATGGGAAGACCAAGGCATAGGTGGGTGGACAATATTAAAATGGATCTTAGAGAGATAGGATGGGATGGTATGGATTGGATTGATCTGGCTCAGGAGGACTCTTGTGAACACGATAATGAACCTTCAGTTTCCATAAAATGCTGGGAATTTCTTGAGTAGCTGCACAATTGGCGGCTTCCCTAGATGGGCTCAGCTCCATGAGTGAGTGAATTCAAGTTGATTGAAAAACTGATGCATTTATAATTACATTTCATAGTGAAATTTGTAATTATGCACCTCATCAGACCCATTGTATGTCTCACTTTTTTTAATTTAAACTTCAGATTAAAGTGCAGTTCATGTAAGTTTACTATGTTTGTTGCAGCCACATTACAACTATGTTAAGGCTTCAGCCTTTTCTGTGTATGAATAGCTGAGTGGTACCTCAGAGTAACAAGATGAAGATGAATATTTTGTAGGTAAATTACATTCTTTGCAGTTATCAGCTGGGAGAGAGATAGGATTCCAAAAAGAATTCTTAGATGTGTTTTGAAAAAGTTTGTTGAAAATCCTCAGTTAGTTTAATTGTGTCTCTTTTGACTTATAATCTGTCGCTTATCAAAGTCAAAGTCAAAGACGTAAGCGACTGCCTGACAAAGCAGAGTGAAGTAAAAGCATAGATCCTGGCTCCACTGTGGTAAATACAGGGCCTACAGGAACCCTGAAAGAGTTGGCTGTGTGGGTTTTCTTGGCCCAGGAAGCCAGTGATGCATTCAGGAATGTATGAAGCTTTGCAGAGGATATTGTATGATATGTTGTAATATTGATTTCCTTTCAGGTTACAGTGTTGAGAATGGTTATGTGGAAGAAAAAGCAACAGCATGCACAGCTTTGAAAGAGATTGCAGAAAATACTGGGTGAGTATGAATCACCACTGTACAAGTAGCTGGCCATATTGTATTCTGTTCTTTATTCTCATGTATTTTGTTTCCCTTTGCCACTCAGAGAAACTTTCATGCCATTCTTGTAGAGGTGTTTCAAAGGGGTGCTTAAAATGAATAACTACCTTCAGGATTATGTCTGTATAGCTCCTATAAATGTTCTTGTCAGTTCTGTATCTATTTCAGTGACATAAAGACTCCAAAATGGAGAGTGGGTAAGTGGTAGAACTCAATAACTTCATTGACAGCATGTCCATTGAAGAGCATATTTGTGTAGTGAGGATTACTGTCTTCTGAGATGTGACACAGTGTTGTCTGGCAGTAGTTTACCAACATTCTGGAGAAATGTGATAGCTGCACCTTCAGAACAGAGCAGTAAACCAAGCTACAAATACCTGTATTTACACTGTTTTGTTTACTCCTATTACGTCAATCAGGGCTCCTGTTCCAGTTGTCCCTCTTCTCTTATCGATATTACTATTTTCCATGCTCAGTTCCTTGTCTACTCTGAAGATGGAGGCACATGTTCATCTGAAACATGGATGAACTTCTACCAGACTACACAGAGTCACATCCCAGAAGACATTTTCTTCAAATATGCAGTGTTACTCCATAATGTGTGCGTAAACATAAACAAAGAGACAGTCAGATAAACTGAGAGCTTAACTTAACAGGTGCACTACTGTGACTGCTTGTAGACTGTATGACAAATATTGATATACAATTACAATATTGATAAGGAATAAGGGCCAAAATAGTTCAGTGTGTATTGCCTACATGTGAGGGAGTGATGTAAAGAAGTCAGATACGTACTTTTGCTGTCAGTATGCTCAGCTGCTAGTTACTTTTGTAATGTTCCTGTATTATTTTAATCCTTGCAGTCCTCAGATTGTTTGGATCAGTGGTAACAGAAATTTGCTAGAAGTAGCAGAAGTAGAAGTAGTTGTCTGGAACCAGGTGCGCCTGATGAATTCCAGCTGAGGCTCCTGCAGCAGCAGTCTAGCCAGTGCTACAATCGGTGGTCTTCCTTGCGTATGAACTCAGTGCTTGTGAACCAGTCTTTGGGTGGTGAGCTTTCTGGTGGATTTACATGGGTGCTAGCAGTGTCAGCTGCCAGCATTGTTCCCAGGAGACTCACTGTTGCTGTGTGTAGTTAGCTGACCAGGGTGATGTGCAGAGACTCACATCTTGTTCTGCTGTCTTTGTGTAAGTGAAGCATGCAATTGTTGTTAGTGTGTTGGAGGTCCGTATCTTTATACTTTGTCGCTAGGTGGTGTGTGAACCAAGGGGGTGTTGGAGCCGCCATGGTGGGTGCTGAGTGGGTAGCACTTGCTTTACTTTGGGAGGCTTCCGCAAGACAACAGGATGCATTCCTTAAAGATCACAGTCTGTGTTGAAGAAGTTTCCAGATGTAATGTTGGTCATGTTGAACCTTTGATTCACAGAAAATAACTCTCTATGCAATGGTCTTTCTCTTTATATGTTAGTTTCCAGTGTTGTAATTGAAATCAAGATTTTATTAATAGATCAAATACCGAATCATTTCATGCACCATTCTGTATAATGAGGACACCGACTGAGTTGGCAGTTAGTTGTGAGTGAGGTCTGCAGTTGGAGTTTGGAGTTGCATTTTTAGACCACGCTACCAAGCGGAGACTAGTGAAGACATAGAAGAGTTAGTGTTTGCAGTAGTGATTTTTAGATTGCGTAGATTAGCAAAAGCATTGTTTGTAGTTACAAGCCTTAAGTAAATCTACTTATGAATCCAAACCCCATTGCCAGTCACTAGCATCTGACAGTATTGCAAACAGTGAGACACTAAGTGTCCTGGGGGCAGCTGAACCAGTACGTTCTCTAGTCCAGTTGTGTGATGCGTGGATGATAAAGGCTAATATATTGAAAGCCTATAAGGCTTTTTGGACACGTAGAAGCATGTTTGGTAAAACTTGGGGACTGCAGCCGCACGTTGTGCATTGGATATACCCTGCAGTTGTAAGATCCATAATTACATATGGCACCACAGTATGGTGGCCCAGAGCTAAACTCAAGACAAGCAAGGCAGAACTTAGCAAATTGTAAAGGTTGGCTTGATTGAGTATCACAGGAACAATTTTAACATCTCCAGAAGCTACACTGGAGATACTCGTACTCCTTGGAGTCCCCCTACTGCATCTATAGTTGCAGGTAGAGGCCAGGGCAGGTATCTACTGTCTCCAATGCAGTGATCAATGGAAACCTAGATCTGATAGTTTCAGACATGCATACATAACTCAGGACATGAAAAAAAACCCATATTACAAATGGGGTATCACAAAATGATACTGAGACATGTATATGAAAAACCCTTCACAGTCAGATTTCCTAACAGGAGTGAATGGGAAGACGGGTTTTGGCCCAATAGAAAAGGGGGACTGATCTGGTATACAGATGGTTCCAAGATAAATAGGAGCACTGGAGCTGGTGTGTACTGCTATGGCACGAGGCGGAAACTTAGTTTCAGCCTCGGGAATACATGACAGTATTCTAGGCAGAAGTATATCCCATTAAGGCATGTATTATGGAGAATTTAGATAGGAACTACAGAAATAGGAACATCTACATTCTATCTGACAGCCAGGCTGCACTTAAAGCACTTGACAAACACCAGATCAACTCAAAATTGGTCTGGGGTTGCCACCAAACCCTCGTGGAACTGGACAAACATAACAGGGTACAACTGATATGTGTGCCAGGGCATAAGGGTGTTGCTGGAAACGATACAGCAGATCAACTAGCTAAGATTGGAGCTGAACATCCATTCATAGGACCTGAACCAGCATGTGGCATCTCTATAGGAGTTGCCAGAAAGCCAATCAGGTACTGAACAAATATGAAGCAGAAGAAAACTGGGGATTCTTGACTGGACTCAGGCAAGCAAAGCGACTCCTACGAGGACCCTCTGCTAAAAGGAACTGTTGAATTTAAACAGGACCAGCTATGATGGGTGGTGGGACTACGAGTACTTACAGGACACTGTCACCTTAAAGGACACCTCTTCAAACTGGGACCAAGTAATAGTCCCACTTGTGAGAGGTGTCAAGAAGAAAATGAAAGAGCCACACATATCCTGTGTGAATGTGAGGCCTTATCTTATTTAAGATTACGTCACTGGGGCCAATACTTTATGGAACCAAGTGATTATTTTGACGCCCCCATGTAGAAAATCCTGCGCTTCATATTAGCGCAGGATTGCTGAGGGAATAATCAAAAGGGGAAGCACAATAGATCACTGTAGGTCACGGTGCAAGGGCCGAGAAGGCCAACCCCTCATACATTCATTCATTCAAAATTTTCAGAATGTAGTGTAATTATGCACAGAAATGCATCACTAATTAGTATAATTATTGATTTGTGTTCATGCTGGCCTCACCATGCAGATTGAAGCGTTTGAAGGAAAGTGAGCATCATAAGTTCTTCCTAGAACTTATTGCTTGGAAATATGTTGGCGCACAAACTTTCAGAAGCATGTCTTGAATGACATTGGTGTTGCTGCAACATCAGAATCTTGTGTGACTAAAATGGATTGAACCGGCTAAATGTAGGATCCATGTTTTTTAACATTAGTAATGAACTTTTGAGTTCCATAAAAGTGGGAAATTTCTGTAGCCAATAAGCAGCCATCAGCTTGGCAAGAAAGATACTTTATCATTGAGTTAACTCAGTTTGCCAGGTGTCCACTTTCTTCCAAGTAGTTAATTTTCATTTCTGGGGAAAGGAGTTCAGGCCTCAGGCACCAGTGGGGGTGATGGCCACATGTTAATTTAGGAATGACAGTTTATCATTAGTGAACAGGGAATTTTACACTTCCATTTCTACACATCTGGTGGCCCTGTTTAAACTCAAGGGTAAGCATATTAGTATTGAAACAATCCAGTGCTTGGCTAGCAGGATTGCACAATGCACTGACTCAGAAGTGTGTCAAAGGGTCATTAAGAGTTATTTGCCCTATGACTACAGCAGGAGCATACGTCTGCAATGTTACTTTTTTTCTTCCTGTAGACTGAATGCCAAGGCAAATAAGATGATGGAGTGAACTCAGCTGAGCTAGAAGAAAAGGTTGTCTAGTATGCAGGAGATACTGTTCCAAATCTATGTAAGGCAGTACTTTTGGCTGCTGTGTCCTCTGTTTGCTAACCAATTATATATATATATAACGACATTTAGACACAAGTGCCAAAATTATAACAAAGAACAATTTCAATTTATTTTCTAAATGTTGTAATGCACTGTAACAACACTAATACACTTTATGACTTAAAAAAATGTTATTTTTATTATAAATATGAACATACACACACACATACATACATATATTATTTATATTTTGTCTGTTAATGTAATTAGAGAGTTATAATATAATCTTCAGGTGTTGTTAATATTTGTTCATGGTTGGGCATCTTTTATTTCTACTTCCATTTGATTTCCTTATGGAATAGTTGCACTGCTCGGATATTCAACACACAATGAAGCCAGATGCGGAAATGTGAGAGGTGGATAAAACCATAAAATAAAGAAAACCAGACTGTGGAAAAACAGAGTGAAACGTTACAGAACATCGCAACTAATTCTGAACAGTGCAGTTGTTTCATAAGGAAATCAAATGGGTGTAGAAATGAAACATGCCCGACCCTGATCACATGAAGATAATTACATATTATAATTCTATAATTACACTAATAGATGCTAACATAAATATTATATGTATATAACAATATTTAGACAAGACAATCTAAATGTTTTATTAGACCATAACAGTGCAATACATCTTATGACTTAAAAATGTTATTTTTGTTATAAATACAATTATATACATCTCTAAGCATGAAAGATCATTAACGCCATCCAGTGTGGCTGATAAATATTTTTCCTTTCTTTAATAATTCATCCTTTACAAGTTTCATTTGAAGCAACCATCTTCAGAGGGACATATCACTACA